ATATATATATATATATATATATATATGTACCTGTAAAATATATTCTAATAAAATGTTTAACAGGATCTTTAGTAATATGAACCTATTTTGTTATCCCTCCATTTTCAGGGTCGAATATTAAGAGAAAGCGATAGTACTTTTAAAAAATAATTCGTTTGAAATTGATTATCACAGCCAGGAGCTGCTACATGCAACACCAGTGACATGAAACTCACTGGACACCCACACAACTGCAGGGTAGCTAAATACGTGTATATAACATATCATCTTCTTACACGATTATTAGGAAGGTGGCAACTAATGTGTGATTTCTTTTGTTTCAGTGATGGCTCCATCAGCACAAGGGTCGATATGCTAGCACCGCAAGCAGATGTGACGCGACCACTCTGACAAAGGGAGGAAACGGTCGAAAGTCAACTGATGACGACTTCGCAGTCCAGTGACCGTTAACTATCGGAACCAATCACCAAGCCGTACTTAGCGGAATCAACATCACCAAGTGAAAATGTCCCCCCTCAACGGTTAGAGAATTACGTGTCTTATAAATCCTACGTCATGACCACACATTAGATTATATATAATTAAACTTATACATACTACCTTTTTAAAATGAACAATATTTTGTTTCTTTCGTGCCTGATGGACATTTTATCTTCCGCTTTTACAGTTTTGGGCCCGATTGTAAATTATTTTCATGGTTAGATAAAATAGGCATTGGGTTATGTAGAAGAGTTTCGATTGTAGTAATTTGAGAGTATATTGTGCCCATAGGCTCTGAGGTACAATATAGTTTATTTTATAGCATAAGCCAAACATGATCTGAAAAATGTTCGGTGTTAGTATTCCACAGAGAATAATTTCACTATAACATTTCTAAATCTCTGCTAAACAGGAAGTTTCTAGGAAAGTAACACGTGGTAGGAAACTTAGAAAGTTAGAGAAAGAATGCAATTCCTATACTGCTACACTTAAATTATTATTTTATTTATCTTCCGGACAAATTGAAATGAGTGTCCTATGCAACCTGTTTGTGCTGCTGGCTGTCCTGTCAGAATACCTTTCCATCTCTCCAAACCCGTATACTTGCAGAAATTGCCAAACGTGAAGCCCAAATTACTGTATATTTCTGTAACTGATTACTTATGACTGTCTTTGCTATTGTAGTTTTTGAAAATATATATTTATATATTCATTCGTTAAAATGTTTCAGAATATGTAACTTATTATGTACGATCATTTTTCTTGTATTGGTCGTAAGTTATTTATTTCACGATGAATCCTATAGTTTCTTCAATAAACATCACTATTTTAAGTTATAAATAATGTATGAAGAACTTATAAAAAATCGGCCCTTACAAATTGTTTGGATATATAGCCTTAGTAAATATCTTTTATTCAACTGTTATTTGTACGAAGGGTGTTCAAGTTCTAAGGTCTCCGATTTTTTTTTTCTCAGGACTGGAAGCAGATAGACACATGCGGTTTAGTTTAAAATACGTGTGCACTCTGTGTGAATGCGTGACAGAGATGGCAGCACTGTACGGCACACAGAACTCTAGTACCTCCTATGTTCTTTTGTATCGCTAGTGGGGTGGGACTAAGTCCCTTGTACCGCGGCCACTTCTGGCCTATTGTACCAGCCCCAGATGATAGGTGACGGTGATTATGGAGCAGTATGTGGCAAGGGAAACCGAAGTACTCGGGGAAAGACTGCCTCAGCGCCACTGTGTCCACCACAAATCCCGCATGACCAGACCCGGGCAGCCGCGGTGAGAAGCCACCTGCTAAACGGCTGTAGCGCGGCCATCACAGAATGAAGGAAAACGAAGTAGTTCAGGGAAGAATACGCCAACTGCCAGTTACGTTTGCTCTTCTGTTAACAGAAAGTTACCTCGAACTCCCAGAAAGAACGCGTGCAGACATCTGTACAATTTTCTTTCTGAAAACGAGATTATGAGCTCAGTTTGGAATAAGGGTTACATGGCAGAATTTTAGTTGTTCATTTTAACACGAGTCCAATGTTAGTATTTTACAAAATAAACAATCGAACAAATTTACAAGTCTTCCTTGAAACTTAGTTAGCCGTATTTCCATTGTTTCAGATGGGTTTATAGCATTATACTGGTGCTTCCTTGTCCCTCTCTCGCTGGATCTAAGGAACTGATAAACACACATTATGCTTATATAAGAATGCAGTTCTAATAATTGGAAGCTCGTAATTACAGTGAAAGATGGAAAACTTAGTGATTTCGATACAGTGACAGTTAAGTCGTGTTGTGCGAACGAATTCAGGAGTAATTTTATTTCGTTGCTTATGCTACTCACAGAATATAATTTTTCTTTATTGGCATTTCATGAGGCACTGAACTGTTATCAGAAGTGTATATGCTTCTTATTTGTACGTAATTAACAAATCAACCTGATGATGACTGTGAATTGTGAACTGAGAATGTCAGAAGAAGCGGTCGTGGCTTATCTGGAATTACTTTCCGAGAAAGAATTGAAGAAAGTCACGAAATTTTTGGCAACTAGAGTCAATCTCAAGGCTGAGGCTGTTGTCAACTGTCTATGATTTCTTCAGCACAGTTTTGTAAGTTTCATCAACTTCCTTCTACAGAAGACCATACCAGCTGACAAATGTGACAAGAGCTCAATGTCTACTGAAGCCAAAATAAATCGACCATAGTAACATAGTTTTACAAAAAGAGATTTACTCTCGTAGGATTTGAGGTGCCGATCACAGTGGCTGCGCGGTCTAAGACATGAACCGTTTTCGCCCCCTCGAACACTGGGATCACGGGTTCGAATCTCACTCGAAGCATGGATGTCTGTGTTTGTGTTATTCTGTGTGTCTTGTGACGGTCTGATTCCCCGTCCAAAGGGTCCTACCGACTGTGCATGGATCAAGAAATTGAAAAACCGGCCAAGGTCCGCGATGGCTGTAGAGCCATAGATAGATAGGAGTTTAGATTTTTACTGCAGTGGTTGTGAAAAGCTCTGAAATATAACGCAGTATATTTTGTTAAAGTCAGCTGACTTTTGGACGAACATGTGGCCTTAGTCTTCAGGTGGAAGAATGAGCCGAGCAGGAAACAGGCCCGGAGCAGGTAGCAAGCAGAGCTCTTCGGCCCTGAAGACGGAGGCCACATGTTCCTCCGAAACGTTAATTGATTTTCAAAGTACTACACCGCCTTATATCCCAGGAGGTAGGTCTCTTCAGATTTACTCTTATTTGTTTATGGAATACAGTAATAATAACCGATGAACTAAAATCTAAATTAATATTTAACATTCGGGTATTTCAGCTGACGTCATAACGAAACCACACATACATTTTTTAAATTACTTTTGTAATTATTGCGAGGTACAAGCATGTAACCGCTGTTGCTATATGCGAAGCGTGGGGAACCTGACAAGAGGATTTAGGGCACATAACTGCCACTTGAATATTCTCTTACGCAGATTTGACACCAGAAGTAAAACGAAGCGCGCCAGAGACACATTTGAGACCACTCCACATCAACGAGCCGACCTTTTCTCTTCAGAGTCGTCTATATTGCATTCCCATCTGCTGCTTCATGTTAATATAGCCTTTCCTTCCCAGATTCCCAACGAAAATTTTAACTTATTTTTAATGAAGGCGCTGCGCGTACTGCCTTTCGAACTTCCGTTGAGTTCAAAGTGAAAAGTGTAAAAGTAAAAATTCCTTATTATTTTATGTTCTTCGAGTACCACGTATTCTGTTCTCTAGTGGTCACAGTTCCTGGCTACAGATCCAGAAGTCCCCGGTTCGATTCCCGGCGCTACCATATTTTCTGAGAAGTGGTTGGTCTGGAACGGGATCCGCTCAGCCTCGTGACGATAATTGAGGAGCCACTTGAATGGAGAAGTAGCGGCTCTGGTCTATAAAACCGAGATTAACGGCCGTGGGAAAGGTGACACTAAATTCTCTGACAAGCGGCGGTCGCTAGGTCGGTATAGTTCACTTGCGGACTAAAAGCCACGGAGTACCACGTATTCCGGCCCTTATGCAGATATTCTACTCAACACATTGTCTGCATACAGATACATACGTGCATGATCTCCCAGAATAAGATCAAGGTTCGCGCCCATTATACCTAGCGTATAATCATAGTAAAATGTAAATATTGAATGTATGATAGCGAATCTACGGACGCGTGAAATACATTTCATCCTTTCGATACAATTAACTTGAATGCGAACAGACATATGTGCACTAACTATGCACCCTTTCATACTGTTAAATTTCACCCAACCAGCCCTAGTTTACACAGGTGGATAGCTGTAGAACCGGGATAGTGTAGTCAGTATAGCGACTGGCTACGGGCTGAATGATCGAGGATTTCGAGTTCGAGTACAGGTAAGGTCAAGTATTTTTTATCCTCCACGTCGTCGAGACCGGCTCTGGGGCCCACTCAGCCTCCTTTCCGATGGGTACTGGGGATGTTTTCCCCGCGGGTAAAGCGACAGGGCCGTGAAGCTGACCACTCACCTGTAACTAGTGCGGAGGTCAAGAAAACGTGAGTCTATACGTCCACTCCGCCGGTCACGGTAGCCGAGCGGTCTAAGGCATGTAATGTCTTCGCTCGCTTGGGAACCTGGATCGTGGGTTCGAATCCCACTCAGGGCATGGATGTTTAGTTTGTGCGTGTGCGTTTTTCTGTGTTTGTATACAGGTAGAGGCCTTGCGACGAGCTGATCACCCGCCCAAGGAGTCCTACCGAATGTGTAAGATCTAGAAAAACCGAAGTGAACGGAGAAGTTCATGGAGGTAGGCCTAGGCCCACTGGGACTGTAGTGCCAAGAAAAAAAAAACTGCAGACCAAGTCTACCGTCTTTCCTCTAATTTCGAAACGTTTCTGTACTACATGGTAGAAAATACTCTTTGGAGGTACACATCTAGACTTAATAGACAGAACTACTATTTGTCTGTAAGTGCACAGCAATTTCGAGTGAGACATCCTCGATGCGATGCATCGCAGGGAACTGCGCAAAACGAGAGCAGGAACCTCTGGCGTAGGAGGAAATTGGATGGCCGTGTTGTTTAACTCGCAACTAACATTGCAGCTAAATTGAATTTAAGTTGCTACTTTGCATTCTCTAGCAACCAATACTTCTACAGTCCTACGAGTGTTTAGAGAGAGAGAGAGAGACAGAATACATCGATTTCTTGTGTCTCTTATACGTATTTTAGCCACAATAAAAATGCATATGAGCAACTGTTCAAATATACATTTTTTTAGGAAAGTGAAACTTGTAATATGTTATTCCAATGTTAAAATGACGTAGTATGAGCTAATGTTATATAAAAAATGTAAAGCTATCCCTGTAACAGCCCGTGAAGGCCCATAAGGTTGTGAGACGTCGAGGCTCCCACATTTTGTCCACTCAGTCGGCTCAAAGATGGCGTTATGTTCGTCAGCCTTACGCGCCTCCTGCCCTTTACCCCCAGGAAGATTCGTGATACTCATTTCTGTTAGAGGTTGAGTCCCCAGGGCTATAGTGCGGCTGGAAAGATTGGGTCAGTTGAAAAAAAAAATCCACTTCATCGGGATTCGGGCCCGCGACCTTGTAGCATAGTGCCTCAACCAAGTACGCTACCGCGTGCCCCGCTAATGTTACATACATCATTTTATAAGAGGTGTATTATGTTTTAAAATCGTGTCCTCAAATATTGCGATTTCGACTCTTTCTATCGAATCTAAATGTTCCATGAAGCAGAGTCTTTCATGAAAGAGGCGATGGTCACCTTCATGGCGTTTTCTTTATAGTCAAGCATAAGGACACCTTCACCTTCTTTACCTTCTGCTCTGACGTCCCATAGGCTCTGTTCCAGACACCTGTCTTAACCTCTCTTACGTCTTTGTGTTTAGCATATACATTCAAGAAATGCGACAGCATATTAAATAATTCCCCCATAAAGAGCTAGTTTTTTATTTCACCCTCGTTGCAATGGAACACAAGAGACGTCGACGATAATGTCTGTGAATAATCACCTCGACGCCACATCGTTACCGCATTGAGGTAACGTCGCTTCCAGCGCCAAAACCACAGGCATATTCCGCACAAATTCCAACACTCCGACTGCTATTGGCCTACTTGAAATAAACTCTGCCTACTTCGTTTCCTTCTTGCTGTGACAGCTGTGAATGAAACTAACACTCGGAGTCACAAAAGGAAACACAAAATGTAGGGCTTGTTTTCAATAACTCAGCCAGGATAAACTTGAACTATAGAAGAGGAATCATGTGACTGCCTTAAGTTTAATCTTTGTTTTAAAAATTTTGAACTTCAACCACATCATAAAATACACTATCAGTTATTTCTAGAATAGAAGTGTTGTAATTGGCTTCTACAATCAGTTAAAACCGTATCGTAAGA